ATTAACAAAAAAAAAATTTAAATAAGCAATATATTCTAAACAAGAATTATGAACTAATTAACAAAAAGAAAAAAAAACCGTCCTACTAAAATAAGTAATATTTCTAAATTGGTACATTAAAAAATAGATTATTTCCATTTCAAATGATCTAAATAGTTAAAGATCAAATGAGATGTCATATTATAAGTGTCATATTGTTAATATAATAATGTGTATGAGACAATTAATTTTAGTATGAGATAAATATAATAAATTAACGATTTAATAAAATATAATAAGATATAATAATAACATAAATATTAAATATTTGTACGAGTCGTAATTTAGAATCTAGTTAAATTTGTCAAATTATATGCGTTATAACTTTAAAAATCAAAAGTATTTACCGCAATACATTTTTATATAAGCATGACACGTAAGAAGATTATAACTCACAGGATCGCAACATGTATCTAATATTAATCAGACGAGGAATGTTTTAAAAATTAAAATTAATTAAGTAAAATAAAATTTAAAATTGAAAATAATTGCCAAGTTACTAATCAAATAATAAAAAATAAAATTTTTAATATTATTCATACTAATTAAGAAACAAAATTTAAGATGACATATATCTATATACATAAGCCATAAAAAAAAATACATACAGAATAAAAATGTCGATTTAAAAAAGCAAAAGACAAATGATAAAAAAGATGCTATATAAATTGGGAAAACACAAGTTAAAAAGGTTATATAAACCTCAATTTAAAAGTTTAAAGATATACACAACCTTGCAAAAATAAAATAAATAAAAAATCTATAAAAATACTTATTTTATTAATATAAAGTTATGAAATATGATTTAAATTTCGATTATATATATTTTTGGATTTGCATTATACGGATTAGAACATGAGAATTATGATATAAATTGATTTATACTGGTTTTAGGATCCACGTTTAATAATATTTTAAAATCCAACGGATTACTAATTAAAATTGGGACAATGCCACTTTTTGTTTCCACATTTGCAAAAATGTCATTTTTGGTGCCCATTTACAAAAATACCACTAATTATGATTTTTTAGAGCCTAAATCTTAAAATTCTAAACCTTTAAAAAAATTTGACCTCTAAAACCCTTTAAACCCTCAAAACTAAACTCTAGTACAACATAATTAACCCAAACATAAATGATATAAAGAATAAATAATTTTGAAAAAGTGGCATTTTTGTAAAGATTGTAAAAATGTGGTATTTTGTAAAGTGGCACTTGAAAAGTGGTATTTTTAAAAATTTCTCATTAAAATTTGAATATTTATGT